TATATATATATATATATATATATATATATATATATATATAGATAGATAGATAGATAGATAGATAGATAGATAGATAGATAGATAGATAGAGAGAGAGAGAGAGAGAGAGAGAGAGAGAGAGAGAGACATAAGTGAGTCCAGTTTATTTCATTTATATCGCACAGATTCACAGAAAATTACTAATGAAACCAGTAAGATTCAAATCCAATTGCAACGATACTGCTGATTACTCCGGTCAAATATGTCCTTCATATTAACAGTCCACTGTTACTCTGAATGATCTAGAGCAATCCAGGTTTTAGATGTGGCTCTGCCACACCTGAGTCAAATAATCAGGTCTACGGTTAGCAGCACTGTGGAGAACCTGACTGCACTGAGGAGGTAATTTAGCTTTGTGATTAAGGTGTGTTGAGTCACGTACACATCCAGAAGTTGCTGTACATCGGCTCTGGAGGCCTGCATTTGAGGATCCTTCCCTGATCTAGATTATATTCTAGATCATGGTGCCCACAATCAACATGGTGCCTTTGAAGACAAGTTTGTGGTCCTACAAATAAAATGATCCACATTTGAAAGCAAGCTTGGGATCTTTCTGCCTACTGGATTCTCATATTTGGACCACCAAATCCACCAGACACAGAGTTCAGCTGCGCACTGGTTATTGTGCTCCAATTACTCTCTAATAAGCTTGTGACTCTGCAGGGCTTCCACACACACACACCACACACACAAACACACACACACACACACACACACACACACACGCACACACACGCGCGCGCACACACACACACACACACACACACACACACACACTGGTGCTCTGCAGACATCAACATGCTCATTCATTCAGGAGTTTCTTCTCCTTTCTGTTAATGTACTTTATGTTTTTAATGTGTTGTGTTTTTTTTTACAAATACTCTTCCGTCACATTTCAGAAGTAATTTATTGTGTTTGGAATTTTGCATTTTGTTAATAAATAAATGGTCTTATTTAATCATTTGAAACTACGTGTAAGATTTTTATGTTTCTCTCATTAACATGAGCTGAAGTCACATGGACACATTGTACACTGGCCTCTGTAATAAAACCTGCTGAATGAACACAAACATTTTCTGCAGCATTAAAGAAAAGTGAATAAAGGGCTCCCAAACCTTTCAACGAACTTTCTGGGGATTAATAACCACATGGATCAGGTAGTTTATCTATAATACTTAGAAGAGAATTTTGTTAGTTTTCCATATTCCAAACCAACTCGAATTGATAAAAAGTAATATTTTTTTCTATAATTACAAATGATCTAAGAAAATATATCCTCCTAACTTTTGTCTTGCAGTCTTGTCTGAAGCAGGAGTTCAATTCTGAATCAAAATTCTGTCACAGCCAAAGCAAACGAATATAAATGAATAAAAACAATATCTTAAGGTGACAGGTGATCTTGTTTTGTAGATGGGCTTAGAAAAGCTCAATCCCACACAATAAATACTTTCTTCTACCACTGCTGCTGCTGCTGCTGCTGTTTTTAAAAAATGTATTTGGTTTAAGACTTTAAGTGTTGCAAATAAAGAGGTGCAAATAAACATAGATGCTGATGAAAGTCTAATTTGAATCTAGAAAATAGGAAGACCACGTTTTATTTTTCATTGGCCATATTTTAGCCTGAGGGCTTTTTCCTCATTGTATGATTTCCACATATCCTTAATCAAAGATTTAGCAGCCTGCTCGCATGAAAGTAGGCGATTTGGAAACAAAAATGTCTCCTCCTGTTTTACTTGCATGCAAAATGAACTGTGCATATTCTACTAGATTACGTTCAATTTAATTCGTAAATATTGCATTTATGTATTTTTTCTTCTTTTAAAATAAATGACATGAACCCTAAATTAATAATAACAATAGCAGACTTTATTTTTAATGCCCTTTATAGCTGTAGATCTCAAAGGGCAGAATAAATAAATGAATAATTAATTAATTAAATCAATTTTAAAGAAGCATTGTTTACTCACAAGTGTAACCATGAAACAAAACATAATCTGCAATTTAATCAAGTTTATTTATTTATTCATAGACAATGAAGTCCCGAATTATCTATAGACACAGTGAATGGCTTTAATTTAAATTATTTTTTATAAAGTAGAATAAAACATCAGAAGCTTAACACCGTGCTTGTCTCCTCAGCCCCATCATGTCTCTGTGTGGATGTGATGTGTGCAGCAGAGGGGATTCCTCCAGCAGCCCCTTCTCTTCTCTTCTCTTCTCTTCTCTTCTCTTCTCTTCTCTTCTCTTCTCTTCTCTTCTCTTCTCTTCTCTTCTCTTCTCTTCTCTTCTCTTCTCTCCGTCCACTTCAGTGCCACATTTTGGCTTAAGGGATAATCCCAGTCTCACAATGTGCATGCGCAAACCCAAAGTGCGCGCAGGGAGATGAGGAGGGGGACGCTTCGCTGATAACTCCAGGACAAAAAAAAAAAAAAAAAAAAGGGCGTCTATTATGCAGATATCGCCATCGAACAGCTGCGTGGATGGAGTGATCGAGGTAAGGGGGGTTTCTGTGGACAGTTAGTCAGGGTGTCTGTCCGTGGGATTTTTCCCCTCTCTGTCCCGTTTCCAGACTCTGAGCTGCGGGATTAGACCGCGTCGTCTCGGGCTGCTTTTAACGATTACATGTTCGGTCAGTGAATAATTTATCGCGTGAAAAATATTGCAGGCTCAAGTCTGAGCTGAGACGGTAATAAACAAGTTATGACACCATGTAAGCTTAAATGATGTCGCTTACAATGAGTTGTTGTTGCCCTGCGTGGATAATTGCACCGTGCGGTGACCCACTTGGCAAACACAGCCCCGGGTTGTTCTTATTCTAGTCACAATAAGTTTGCTCCAAAGAGAAAATGCTGCTGTATTCTCCATCTTAATAACAGAATGCTGTGGCAGCGGAGAAATAATGAATTTATGCTTCCTTGAGAAACAGAGTTGAATTTGCTGCATTAATTGAGAAATGTTTTTTTTTTATTATTATTCATTTTATAGAGGAAACCACACCCCACCTCAGCCAGACTCTTAAATCTTTCCTACACCTGCTGCAGATAGAAAAAAAAAATCAGATTTTCAAAACCTTCTGAATTTGCTTTGTCATTTGTGTTCTTTTTTTTTAATCATTTATATTATGACTTAATAAATTATGTGCTCTCATGAATGATAAAGTCAGCACACAAAGCCTTGCAAAAGTATTTGCACCCCTTGAACTGATTTTCTTCTCTTTTTGTAACCTGATGGTTTATTGCATTTTATTGGGTATTTATAGACAAACATAAAGAGTCGCTGTTAAGCAGAAGGAAAATAATTTTTGAACTTAAAAATGTGTTTTTAAGTAAAAACCTAAAGGTCCTTACCCTCTTTTGGGGTGTGCCTCTGCTTGACAAGTTTAGAGATTCAAATTTTGCACATTCCTTTTTGCAAAATAGCTCAAACTCAACCAAATTGGCTTTGCGACATGTGTGAGTATAAACTTTCAAATACACATCGGTTTATTGTCGGCTGTTTCAATACATCATTATGTTTAATCTAAAGCATTTTATTGCTGTATGTTGTGGATATCCTTCTGGAGGATGAACTTCCACAACATTCTCACGTCTTCCCCAGGTTTCCAGGGCCGGACTCTGTGTTTTACAATACCTATGTTACCATCAGCTGTTCAGTTTTCTGCCTGAGTTGGAGTGACTCAGTTGTCGTCGCTCCTGTTTGCTACATTTTGTAAATAACAGTGTAAATACTGTCTGAGGGGATAGATCTGGATTATGCCCATCATCTTGTCCCACATTTTATGTAACCGTGTGATTCCTGGCATCAGATGACAAATGTTAATCCTTTGTCAGAAACAGATTTACATTTGTTCTTTATGTTAACTGTAGGTGCAGTGACAGTCCTTTTAATCTTTAATATCAATTATTTTGGACTTTTAAATCAAATAAAGACACAAAGACAGTTTATAACAGATGCAGAATTTGACTGCAGACAAGCCAAAGCTTCATAGTCGCAAAAGTTGTGATTGAGATACAGCCTAACGAGTTACATTTGATCGAATATTTGTGACAGATTAACAAATATGTGATGTTGTATGTACAATTTTGACACTGTATATTAGAGAAAAGTTGCTTTATCAAAATCAATTAAAGTTTATTTATTTATTTATTTATTTATTTAATGTCTTACAGCTTCAAACTGTGATGCTACCTGACTCTGGGAGGGGACTGAATCCAAAATGACGCTTCGGTGTGATGGAAAGGTGTAAATCCAACTCTGCTGCCTCCTCACATGGCTCCACACACACCTGCCCGCCCTCATGGACACCCAGTGTTTGCATGATATTTCAGTTTCTGCATCGAGGACAGGATGACTAACTGTGAGCTGATCGAGCTGAAGGACCTCAGTGTGAACGATTCCATCGAGCTAGCCGCTCCACCCGCACATGTCTCCTCAGCCCCTGTCAATCCGGGCCAGCCCGGCGCTGGCCGCGTCGTCCGTCTGGTTGGAGACAGCGTCAGCATCGAGGGACCGGTCCGTCACCTGGGAGAGGGGGCGGTGGGTCATGACTTCCAGCCCTATAGCTACACACACCTCAGCTGGTGTGACCTGTGTGGAGAATTCATCTGGGGTCTCTATAAGCAGAGCTTACGCTGTGCCAGTGAGTACTTCTTCTAATTCTGATCTATTTGAAGCCTGAGTCTATTTTAATCTGACCAGCAAAAGTGTCAGATTTTCAGGCTTCAAGCGAATTGAAAGCCTGACGCTTTACATCCTGTTTCCATGTTGTTTCGGAGCTTTTGAGTTATGCTGCTGGACCCGATCCAAACAAACGTATAATTGATGTCTGCAAGTAACGGCTGCTGAATACTGCAGTGTCTGTCTGTTTATGTAGACAAAACTTGGCTTTTATGCTGGTTCTGTTCTATTTTAAACAGTTTTGAACAAGAATTACTGCCAAAGTCACATGGGAAATGGACGTTTATTGTCATTTTAGGCTGTTTCTGTTTTATTAGTGCCTCAGGATGTTAGATTTCCTCTCCACGCCGTTTACCCTAATCAGTTGGAAGTTCTGGCCTGTTTCACCTTTTAGCTCAGTGTTTTTTGTCCACATAGGCCCTAGGGATTGTCCTTGCTTCTCTGTTTTCTTTTACTTCTGGCGTTTCTGTTGTACTGTCAGTCACATTCGGTCTCACTCACAGAGGTGGCGGCTTAGTGGGACAGTACAGGAACAGATAGTACGACACACAGATTGGCACAGTTAAAGCAAAACAGAGGAACCAAAACCACACCTTCTTTTGATATCCGTGTCTCTCCTTCAGACTGCAGCTACACTTGTCACTACCGCTGCCGACCGTTTATCCAGCTGGACTGCAGCACACAGGGGAGTGCGTTAACGGAGAGCGCAGACTACAGCGAGGACTCCATTGAGACGGACACAAACGTGGTAAAAAGCGAGACAACTCGTCAAAAAAGAACATAGTAATGCACCTTGCAAAATAACATTCACCCATTAAATGTTCACATTTTGCCAGCTAAAAACTTTTTTATGTGTTTCGTCTTGATGTTAGATTAACAAACGGTAGTGCATCATGGTGAAGTGGACGGAACCTTTAGCATAGTTTCCTATTTTTTCTTTGTAATGTAAATTTGAAATGTTTAATTTCTATTCAACACTAATCACCTTTCACTGCTCTCACAGTGCCATTATTATTATTATTATTATTATTATTATTATTATTATTATTATTATTATTATTATTATTATTATTATTTTAATTCCTTAATGAGTTGGATTTTTCATTTACTTTTGAGGAATGTAACTGAGAAAAACGAAAAAATTGATTATGCTTGAATAATCATATGTGATGATAATAACTGACCAGTTTATTTACTGTGTAATAATAAATAAAAAAGACGTATTGTCGTAAAGTGGTGTTATATTTTTAAATATATATTTTTACTTTATAAAATCTGCTTTTAGTGTCATCTGTGACTATGCATACAAGCTTAACTTCAGCTCTTTAGTTTTGAGAAACAAACCCAGCATTTGGTTTGTTGAAATCCATCCAGATACTTAAGACGTGTATTTTAAACAAATTAGGTCACTTTCTACGGTTGTGATTAGCCTTTCATTCCCCTGCTGGGATTAGAACGGGGGCCTTTTTGAGAAGCTGAGCATATTCTGGAACAAGAAAAACCGGGGAAAAAAGTTCAGTTTAAAACTAACAAAGAAACTCGAAACATACACTTCCATATGAAAGAAAAGTCTTTCTTGTTGCTGTTTTTTCTCCTCTATTGGAAATTGTAAGGAAACTCTATGACACATCAGGTTTGAAATAAAAATAGAACATTTTGAGAAAATAATATCCTAATTTAATAAACTATAAATGAGATTTGAGCGTCTTAATGAATGTTTTTTGGTTGTAGAGCAGACGTCCCAGGGACCTTTGCTTCATTTCTTTCTCCCTTTACTCTCCTGTGTGATTACTGTCAGTGAACGCCACTGAAGCCACATCTTAAAAGAAATCTAATCTTTAGGTTTGAGATCATAGTTAATAAATACATTACTACTAGGGTGAATTAGGTATGCAAAGGGTGTATGAGCTGGTGACTCTGAACTTAAAAATACATTTAGGATTGAATTTTGATGTCCTGAGACTTTAGATTTATTATATTTAATTCTTGATAAACGCTTCATCAAAAGGCAATGAATCAATAAATGAATCCTCAAAGCTTTCTGTGCAGGTTAAGAAAATAACCTGGGGTGAAACTTTTGCTCACTGGCCGATTGAAGCAAATCTGACGGAGGATCAGGGTGGAGCTGAAGGAGACACTGAACGGGAACAGAGCGAAGAGAAGACAGATTAGTGAGAGTCTAGAGAAAATCCTTGCAAAATAGTGGTGACAATAATAAAAAAAAACATACTTGTCCAAAAATCTCACTGGGAGAAGTTAACCAAGTACTTAATTTTACTTTCAGGGACCAAACTATTATTTACAGGCTTACATCTTTCTTTCACAGATGTGCAACCATGAGCCTTCAACATAGTTATAGTCTTTCCTATTTTACGTTCTTCTCTGTTGCATCCCTCCATCCTTGATTCTCCCCAACCGATTTCCTTTGGCGTGACTTGCTCCAACATTTTCTTCCTTTTCAGGATGACCAGACTGAGCCGGGTAAACAAGAGTTAAGTGTCGGTAAGATTCAGCAGAAGGTGAAGGAGTACAACGCTCAGATTAACAACAATCTCTACATGGTGGATGTGAGTGAATGTTTTTGATGCCAAGCTTCTGGAATAATTGTGGCTGGATTTTTGACTACATTTCTGTTTGCAAAGTTGGCAGAAGTTCTTTAGCTCAGCTGTATTTATGCATAGTTGTGTTATTATTATGCCAAGGATGTGTTTATGTGAACTTCTGGACAGTTTTTACATCATATTTTCATAACTTGCAGATTTGTCTCCATAAATGACACCCTCTAACTCTAGTGAATCTGTGTATCTAACAGAATAAAGATGGGACGTACACTGGTTTCATAAAGGTCCACTTTCAGTTGCTCCGGCCCATCTCCCTCCCACCTTCTCGGAACCAGAGCTGGACAGAGGAGGACGATCAGCAGGGAAGGCTGACAAGGCGGCGGACGTCTTTCTACCTCCCCAAAGACGCGGCAAAGCACCTTCACGTGAGCTCGGAAACCCGAGTGCGAGAAGTCATCGAGGCGTTGCTCAACAAGTTCACTGTGGTCGACAATCCGGCGAAGTTTGCCTTGTTTGAACGTGCTGAGAAGCAAAGTCAAGGTTGGATTCCTCACATCAGGATTTTATTGAAACAGAGAAGAAAACCATTGATTATCTTTTTTGTGCTTTCTTATAGTGTTCATGCGCAAGCTGTCTGACGACGAGCGCCCGCTGTATTTGCGCTTGTGTGCTGGCCCCAGTGAGTCAGTCTTGAGTCTGGTTCTGAAGGAGAATGAAACAGGGGACGTAAATGTGAGTCTTCTGATCAGATATGAGGATGAATAGACTCTTTATTTTACGGTTGGTTTGAGCGATCTTAAAACACAATGCCTTTCCTTTGCAGTGGGATGCCTTCAGCTTCCCAGAGCTGAACAACTTTCTGCGAATCTTACAGCGCGAGGAAGAAGAGCACGTGCGGCAGATTGTGAAGCGATATGCTCACGCTAGAGACATGATAAGGCACGCAATGGCTCGCGTAACTACCCCTGGTTGACAGAGAGTCAATCTTGGAGTTCAACATTAGGAATAACCTTTTCATGCCACGGAAATGGGAACCTTTACGGGTGACGAATAAAGGGAAGGAGAGAGCTCAAGCATTGACAGTGTTTCAGATTGTAGTTTGTTAATGAAGCAGGACTACATGTGTTTACATTTAATGTGAGCTACTGAAAACACCAGACCATGCTGTCTTTTATCACATACTGGCACTTTAATAAAGCTGTGATTTAGAGTTGGGTATGTGTATTTATATGCAAATTATCTAATAAACTGATCACAATAAATTACCGGTCACGTGATGTTAGGTGTATGATCCTTTCAAAGTGTATGTGTTGCTGCAAAGTTTTCCCACTCGCACATTTCTTCTGCTTTTTTTTTTTTAATTACAACAGTGTTTTACATCATTAATGAGGCTTTAGTAAACATAACTTGAGTAAATAAATACAGATTGTAATTGAGTTCATGTACTGTAATTAGGGGAAAATCTACCCAAATCATCCTGACCTTAAGAGAAAGAGTTTTTCACCCATAAACCTAAAATCTGGATGTGCCACAACAGCTACCAGCGTCTGAATCACACATTCCAAAAAGTTCCTCTTGTGTTTTGTCAGTCTACAGAAATATTTCCCAAGTAATGTCGCGATGGTTTTTTCGCCAATGTGAGACAAGTCTTTGTGTTATTTTCGGTCAGCAGCGGTTTTGACCCTTGAATTTTTCTCATGGATACCAATTTTGTCCAGTCTCTTCCTTATTGGTGAATCATGAACTCTGACATTAGCTGATCCAGTTAAGTTCTGTGGTCCTTCGGCCTCTCGGTTCTTCTGAGACCTCTTGGATGAGCCATTGCTTTCTTGGAGCAATGCTAGCAAGCCGGACACTCCCGGGAAGGTTCACCACTATGTTTTCCATTTGTGGATAGTAACTCTTATTCAGGCTGGTTGGAGTCTTAATATCTATGCTTCCATAGAGAGGAAAACAAATTAAACATTATGTTTTGAGACTTTTGTGACACCAAGGAATGAATACAAAAATCTGGAATTAAAACTAATTGTAATAATGGTATGTTCAAAAAAATACAATTTAAATATAATGTAGGCACTGATTGCTCTAAATTACATTTTAATTTTAAGTTATATATATATATATATATATATATATATATATATATATATATATATATATATATACAGATATATATATATATATATATATATATATATTTTTAAGTGAAAATGTATTTACAATTTGCATCAGTCAAAATTACATGGAAATAAAATAAATATGCCCAGAAACCTAGAAGGAACATCTTGGGACTATCTTCCCCACAAAGCAAAACAAGGTGATTGTGATACTGAATTAAAAGAGGAACTTATTGTCCTGATTTTATTAACACGGGAATTGCCAACAAATTGCTTCACATCTATAATGAAAAAAAACCCATTAATATAAATTTTCATAATTGATGATTAGTTTGGTTTCTCTGAATTTATTGATCCAAGCACTCAGGTAGAGAATATGACCAAAATAGAACCTATAGTTTCATGAGACAATTATATGTGTGACCATCTTTCTACACCGTCTTTGTTATAAGAAGAGGACATCTCAATGGAGCTGGTAAAAAGAAGAAGCCCTGCGTTTACCCCTCCCGTCCACGTGGTGGCGGTAACTCACAGAACAATACGGGAAAGGGCAGCTGAAGAAGCAGTACCGTTAGCACAAACAGCTAATGTAATAGCTATTGATGTTACGAGCTCTTTGGTCGTTGGTGATATTGACAACTCATCCGGACAAATTCATCAGAGGAATATTTGCCTCTGTGAACACAACGCTCTTCGGTTTAGGTAGGCTTACAACTAGCCTGAAACTACCAGTAATAGCTGAGAAATCAGCTAATGTTAGCTTTCATCAACGTGGGTGAACGTTATGTTTAGAAGCGTGTTGACCTAGTAAGTGCTAGAAAGAGAGCGCTGGTTGTCTTTAGATAACAGCGATGGGAGCTCTCATGACATTAAAGCTGGTTTACTTTAAGTTTATAGAACAGGGTCAGTCTCTAACTGTTTTGATAAAGCAGCTAAATAAGTTAGCTACTTCTTTGCCAATGTTAAAGACGTTTATTTATGTTGTTCATCCTTCTTCGAAGCACGTAACTTGTATTTTATAACCATACCTTTGCTACATTGCGTGGCATTGCACAGACGGTTGTCAGTGCTTTGCTCTCTCAACAAAATATGGCTTTAATAGGTTGCATTGTCACGCTTCTTGGGCCGTCTGTGATTTCTTGGCATATTTACAGCAACCCTAATGACTTCCTCTTGTGCCTTTTGTCTTATCCATGAGGAAAACAAATTAGAGGCAGTGCTAGGCGATTGGAGTTTTATTAATATGTGCTCTCTACATTGTATATTGCTTTTACTTACTATATATTGTGATATATTGACTGGTTGCAAAGAGAAAAATATAAAAATATATGCCTAACATGTTGTTTTTTTTCTTTCCTTTTATGTTTTATCTTAATCGGTCAAAGATGAAAATTTGAAGTATGATACCTAAGAAATAAATAAGAAATAAAACACTAAAATATATGATCTAAAAATGTTGCACAATATATCATTTATATATTGTCATTGCAGTATCGGTGTCTGCAATATTCATGTCGCAAAGGACTATTTGAAGAGCAATAATTGTTGATTAATGTATTCCAAGTACTATGAACTTGCGTTTCACATGCTAATGTAATAGTTAACCGGTTGGATAGAGTCTCACAGCAGCTGGTGTTCACACCACACACAAACAGCATTGACATCTGAGATGAGAAAAGAGAGGAAAAAAATAGCCAAATATAACACTCAACATTGTAATCATAATAATTATCATTATTATAGTCATTACAAGAACTAATGTTAGCTTTTCTAGAATGCCTTTAAAAAAGTAAGAGTATTTTTTTCATTATTTGTGAACTTGTTAACAATAACATACACAAAAATACTAGAAAGAAAGAAGAGGCACACTAACGGGAGAAAATAAACTGTAGAAATACAAAAAGTGAGATAATCTGCCAACATATGTTTGCTTCCAAATTTTAAAATCAGTGCAAAAAGCATTAAATTGGTACAAATGTCTTACCAGGTAGTGTGTAAAAAAGAAAATAAAATAAAAAATGCTTTTTGGGAAAGAAAAGGAGTAGCAGAAACTAAAATGTTAGGACAGGCAATTTTCCTTTTTATCATTATCAGAGACAGGAATGTTCAGAAATGTCAACAGAAATGTTGACACTTCCTAAATATTCTGTTTACAGACCCTAATTGTTAATTAGGGTCTGTAAACAGACCCACAAATGTAACTGTAAACAGTTATTTTGTGTTGGAAATTTGGGTGTGAGCAGTGTTTGTGTTTTTAGGCAAACTACCACAAAAAAAACAATTTTAATATTCTTTTTCTTACTTTCCAGCTAAATATTGACAGTGGTGTGTGTCTGTGTGGACTTTTGAGATTTGCTGCATTTGCACTCTTGATGGAAGCAGCATCTGTTTTGCTTCTGCAACTTGACTTGGTTGCAGAAGGATATATTGTTTTGGATGAACATTCAGTGGCTGGCCTTATTGTGTTATCATGACCAAACCACTCACTTTCACTGATCTTTATCTGATCCTTTAGTCTGTAATGGTTCTGTTTTTACAGAATAATTTTGTCCTTGGTGTGCTTTCTGCTTCAAATGAAGCATTTCAATCCCTTTGTTTTTTTTCCTTTAGCTATTCCACTCTGAAGACCCAAATTACTCCAGTACGAGAACAGTGAATCACCACTGGTTGCCCTCTGACTCAGGGAAAATAATGTGCTGCAGCTGAAGATGGGGGGTAGTGGCTCCAAATCCAAAGGATTTTGGCCTTTCTCTGGCTCAGGCAGCGGGGATGAAGCAGCCAAAGATGGAAACGAGCAGTCACTGGCAAGAGTACGAAGTTTCCCTGGCGCGACTCCCTTTGTGTTTACCAGACGAAGGTAAATATATGCTTGGTGTCCATAAATGTGAGGAATCATAATGGAGTCATAAACTGAGTTGGATTTTATAGTCAAATTAAAGTGAGTGCAAATATTGAGAGTCGATATTCTTTTATTAAAAAGTACAGTAAGCTGATTTTTTTTTAATGACCTGGGATAAATAAGAAAAACTGATTATGTTTTCAATGCAGTCACGTGTTTGAGATGGAGAAAAAAAAACTATGTTGATCTTAAGAGATCGACTGCAAGGCCAATTTATGTATGTGTAAATATTGCCATGTTTTTTTGTTCTTTTTTTTGCTGCAGCTCTATGTACTTCGATGAGGACGGTGACTTGGCCCACGAGTTCTACGAGGAGACAATTGTGACAAAAAATGGACGTAAAAGAGCCAAACTGAAAAGGGTTCAGAAAAACTTAACACCTCAGGTGGGAGAATGTATTATAATCAAATGAGAATTCACTTGTATGCACCATGCAGACTTTCCCTGACTTTTCTTTGAAGTCTGACCTGTCTAATTTGATTCTTATTTTTAATTCTAGGGACTGTAAATTTAGTGAATAGCTGAGGGAGGAAAATATATATATTTTTGCCTTGCTGACCTTTGATCAGAGCTTATCAAAAGAAAATTATCCAATTGATTTGTGCATATTTAGTAGACACCAGTTCAGTTGTTGCTGCAGGTCATTTAAATTCCCTCTGTGTCCTTTCAGGGAATTGTAAAGCTGGACTTCCCGTGCATCCATGTAGATTTCCCCGTTATCCTCTGTGAAGCCTGACGGTCCTCGAGGGACTCGAATGAGCCGCTGAGTCAGCTCCGTCCCGGTTTTCTTCTCTTTCTTTCCCCCTGCAGATGGAAGCCGGAAACATCTCCTAATAACGTGATCTCCCAAATTATCTGAAGCCCCTGCGCGGAGCGGCTGATGCATCGTGTGCCGAGCCTCTGCATGTGACCTGTTTGTGGCTTGTGTGCAGTGAGACGCGGGATGGACCGCCAGTTGGGATGGAGAGGAAAATCCGAATCCTCTCATTTCATGGAGTTCTTGGCTTGCGTGCATGTCAGTGTGGATGCGTGCAGACAAAGGATGAAACCTTTTAAGAGTTCTAAATATTTTTTTGCTGAAGGTTGTTTTCTTGTATGATCCATTGAACTCAATGAGTTTAGAATAAAAGCAGCACTTGTTATGGTCTTATCTAAAGTGGGGAAACCTGTCTGTGCACATTTTAGTTTTTTGTTTTTTTTTTTGACACTATTTTGTCTTGCTTTGTTTTGCATGGAGCAGGAGGTTTGGGCTGCAGCCTTTGTGAGTTGGCAATCAGTAGCCACCCAAACTAATCTAAGGAAGGATTAATATCATGTTGTAACATTTGAAGAACTTGTTTCAGTGACTTCATACTACACATGTACACAACGGCATTGAGTCAAATAGGAGATCAGATCCTGTTTTTTTTTTCTTTCTTTGCTGGTTATTTCACATTTAATTTATTAAAACAATTTTTTTAATTACAAAATCAGATGTTGCTCTGTCATGTTTCTGTTTTTAAACGACTGAATCTCAAAAGGTTAGAATAATATTGAGAAATGTTTTTTATGTAATTCATTCATTTAATCAAGAGAATCCTGTGTATTAATTTATTACACAGCCATATAGCCCAAGGATTTATTTTTCCACTATTTCTGATGACTATGCCTTGCAGCTCATGAAAACTAATTTTTCAGCATTTCAGAAATTAGAGTATTATACACAAATACTGCAAAGTATGTCTATATATTACAATATTTACTGTTTTTTTTTTTTGTTTGTTTTTCCCCATGAACTACTGCGTCAATGCAGAGTGGCATGGAGATGATCGGGTTTCTTGAATAGTAGCATTGTTGGGTTTGGTGTTTCTTGTGGTTCCTCTTGACAACGCACCGTAGATTCTCCACGGGGTTCTGGTCAGGGAAGTTTGCTGGCCCATCCCGCACAGTAACACCAGGGTCATAAAAACAAGTATTGGTACTTTTGGCAGTGTGAGTGGGTCACAACTTCTGCTGGAAGATGAAATCAGCACCTCCATAATGGCCGTCATGAGAGGGGCTCTGAGTCTCCCTGGTTGGTGTCTACTCTGACTTTGGACTTAATGAAACGGAGTGGGTCAACTCCAGGAGATGACATTACTCCCTAAATAATCCCTGACTCTAGAAGCTTAACACTGGAACTCAAACAACTTTCCATGTTTTGTCCAGACTGGGGTCTTACTTTCCCATTAAGTGCAAAATCGACTTTTAATTTGAAAATAGGACATTGAATCACTGAGCAGAAGTCCAGTCCTTTTTCTCTTTAGTCCACGTAAGAATCTAATGTTTTTCTGGTTAACAAGTGTTTTCATGTACTTTTCTTCACAATCCTATTACAACTGTGGTCATCCCTGTCGCTGGTGCAGCTTTTCCTACCCAATGTTTTCCTTCCACTCAGCTTTCCGTGAATATGCTGCAGCACTCTGTCGACAGCCAGACAGCTTACTAAGGAATTATGTTTTTGTGACTCACCCTCTCTGAAAATGTCGCAACAGATGTTTCCTAAGGGTTGTGGAGGCAATGATATATTTGTATTTCAAAATTATTTCTGTGATCTGGCCCAT